GAGTTTCGACCATCAATTGTCATTCACAAGCTTCAAGTAAATAGCTGGTGGTCTCTGTACTTTAATGAATAAAAGGCGTTTGTGATTAAACTTAATGACCCCTACGGTCATTGGAAGAACTTGTAGAAGGTAGTCAAGTAAGAAACAGACTCAGAGCGATGACTTTTTTGTTGCTTACGACTTGAGTGTTTGGACATACGACTCACTCATACAGTTTTACTTCGCAAGTTAGGGTGATACGAAACAAGAATACGAGTGGCAAGTTGATGGTGGAGTAACAAAAGCTATGTACTACTGCATAGAGCAGTGAGACGAGTTTATTTATATTTCCTAAAGGGTATAATGAAAAAATGTTGTAAATAATAGAGTGAAATTCTTAGGAAGTAAAGCAAAAGTACTCAAAGTTAACAGTGGAAGTTTCAAGAAGCTAAAGAAAGTTAATTCGAGTGTCAGAAAATTTTATAATTAAATGGAATGCTGAATTTATTTTTAAAACGAAATTGGTGGTAACATATTTATATTTACTTTTTGATATTTATTGATTAATATTTGTTAATACTTTCTCGCACAGCGAAATTTTAATCATAAATGTAAGCCATGACACGTGTATCTTCCCTGTCTGACCAATTTCAGGCCATACTACTCAATGTAAACAGCAGGTACTACAAAGTGAGATAGCACGTCTAAGCCTTTATTAAAACGAGTTCCGTAGAGGTGCAAGCGACAATCTTAAGCTCCAAGCATCGAGGTAACGACGTGGGTGTACGTATACGCACGACAGGCGAAAAGCTGCATCCTTTCGCGTCTAGACTGTCCTTCGTAAGCGAAGGTGAGCGTTTAATGCGCATCTTGAGCCTTTTTGCCCCTATCGGACTCTTGGCTTTACTAATTTTTCCGGGGCGAAAGATTTAACGAGGTTTTTCATGCCTGTAATGGCCTTTGAGGTTGCTCATGAGCAAATTTTTGCTGGATAGAAAAGTGTAAGGATGAGACGGTTTTTAGACTGGGGTTTTTCTTTCTCTTGATGCTAAATTGAAAGATTTAAGAAAAATTATTTTATGGATTTTTAAATAGTTTTAAAGAAAGCCATTTTTTCTTGGATAAACGGTATTTTTTTGTTGAAAAAATTTTTTATTCACCACTATTTACAATACTGAGAGAAAAAATGATTCCAGGAGTCATGTTTTAGGTATTAAAGTTTATTGTAAATTATTAAAAACATAATATTTAATTTTTTAAAAGTATTTCAGGCACTTCTGTAAATTTATTTAGCTTTATTTTATAATTATGAATCTGATGTAAAAATTTATACAAAAGGAAGATATTTGTGGGGTAAAAAATTTTTTTTTTCTAAACTGGCGTACCGTATGCTAAATAATCATTTAAAAATTTACGTTTTCATACAAACAATCTTATGTAACTGTATTTCTAAATTCGTCTTTAAGATAGTGTATTAAATCAATTTGACGTAGCATCAAGAAGTATGTATCTTCGGTAATTACGAATTTCCAATATCGACCACATGCCCATTTTCAAAGGCGTAATGAAAGTATTCACGTTCACTAAAAATAATTTGAAATTCAACTACGTAGTATAAAATATACCACAAGATGAAAAACGAACATGAATACTAAAAAAAAAAAAAAAATATATACTGGCAATGTACCAAGCTAACTTTGAAAAATATTTCTCTAGATTAAAAGGCAAGAAACTTTGGCCCACGGAAGTTCTTTCAGAATTCATAAAAGCAAATTGAGTTTTGCATTTCTCGCTCGCAAAGTAAGATGGGTGGAAACAACCCACCCCTTCGATGAAAGCTTTTAAAATCTCGAATCCCAACTTTGCGGGTGCATCGAGCACGTGGCACACTCCAAGCAAATCTCCGCGAACGTGAACGAGTACGTGAGCACGGAAAGAGGAATCATGTGATGTGGCCATCGCGGGGGTCTACGAGTGAGGTATGGGAATCGTTGTGAGATTGGAAAAGAGAGAAAAACCGTACATGCACGTTGAATAGTAAAAAATACTAGTAGTGTAGCGCGTCGACTGAAAATGATAAAAATTGGCAGAGTTTTGTATGTACAGTCTGATGATGTACATATTCTCGTGACTCGCATCAAATGCATGAAAGAGGGACGGTGGCTGCAGTTCCGGGGCTTAATTATCACCGAGGCCCAATTACGAGAAAGTTGCCGACGACAGGCTCTTTCGAAAAGCAAGGCCTGCTCCAGCTGCGCGTGTACGATTTTCCCTGCTTTGCCCTTCTTCGTTAATTTCAATTAGGTCCACTCTCTCTCTCACCCTCTGCCGCGTGTGCGCTAACGACGGAGCGAGATGCTCTGCTGGGGGCTTGAGTATTTTTATTTTTACCCTTTGACATGTTTTTTTTCTTACGAAACGTTTGAGGTGCTGATTTCTCTGAGTGTTTTTTTTTTTTGGCGCCACCGTAATTACAATGTTTGGTCTTTTTTTTCTCGTCGAATAAAATGGGCGAGTGCAATATTGCAAATTAAATTCGAGAAAACATAGATAAATCGAGTGGTCTCACGTTCAGTATACTTTTCGTACACAAATATCACACTACGTGAACAATTATATTAAAATTATGATGTGGGTATAAAATGAAACCAAAAAGTGTGTAAAATTGATGAAAAAAGAAGGTAGAAGGAGACTGAGACAGCGAGATCTATAGATTTTATGACGCTGTGGGGCGAATATTATTTAATTTAATATAAATTAACTGTTCCCAAATAGAAAAAATATGAAAAATTTCTCAGATTGGAAGATCTATAACATTAATTTATACGTATCAAAAGGACTATTTTAGTTGTCAAATTAAAATTGTTGTTCAATATGAAATATCTAATGATTTAAAATTCGTTCTATGACATTTCGTGTCTCCGACAGACTTCAAGATCCTCAATTTTGTTCAAATTATTATTTCAAACAGAAAAAATTTCATGATTTATTACAGTGTGTGCATTAATAATTTGAAGAGTATTTCTGCTTTTCATCTAAAACTCGTTGAACCGGTGTGAATTTTTTTTTAATTTAACCATTTCTACTTTCAAATGAAATTGCAGACCAAATTCATATTGGATCCCACAGTTTGACTCTGCAGTACGCACCAATTCACAACCCGTTTCATTCAAACCTTCCCGTGAAAAAGATTTCAATCGGTCTCGTTGAGTCAAACGAAGCAATGATAAAAAATAACTGATTTTTCAACACATCCATCCTACCATATTAGCGATACTCCAGCTGCATAGAAACAACAAAAAGAAACCAACCCTGTCGCGATGCATCATCGTCACACACGTAACATCGACAGCCCTATCACCGATCGATTAACCCGAGCATCAAGTCCAAACGGGCCGATAAAATTAAAAACCCCTCCTGAAATACATCATTTCCAGGACAACGGAAGCAGAACAGCGGCCATTCGTCAGGCGCACCCCTCGAGCCATTAACATAAAAATTCCTCCACCTCGAATTCCCACCTCGCTCTCTGATTTATAAGCGGCTCTCTCGAGCATAACTATGCACCACTGACACCACTAACGGCGCGCCCCACGTGCACTATGCACTTATGAAATATTCCAGCAGGAATAAGTAATATCGATCCCAGCCTTGTACGCTCGTCTCTCGTACACGCGCATACGCCGTCTTTCTTACGAGCCGAGGAGGGAGACGCTTCAGCCGAGGGCTGGCGTGTCTGACGCAACGAGACCCCATCCCCCTTTATTTCATCGCAGACGAGATCGCTAATGGCAGCCCCTCACGGTGAAAGAATTGCCGCGAGCGCGTATTCACCCGACGCACCGCCCCTTCTTTTACAGGTTCCTTCCTACGTCTCGCTTGTCGTTGTCGTGCGTTGCTTTGCCACGAGGACTTTCAGGCAAAAGAAATGATTTTAACGAGTCCCACTGTATCGTTAGCTGTTACAAGTGTCAGGGTGAAGGACAAAAGCTTGTCGGTCTGCCCGACAAATTTGCGTATAACACGTGGTGAATAGTAACGTATAAAAGCTCTGCTCGTGAACGCTGATTCGCCTAATCGCTTTGGGTCGAACGCGGAGAAATGCACCCCCCTGTGGCGAGACAAAAAACAGACGAACGACTCAACGCCCTCGTTGTACACGTCGTCCGGCGAAATTGTATCATGATGCTTTGAAGGAGAACGCGGTGTACCGTAATGGGGGGGCGGGGGGAGATAGAGAGGGAGGGAGTATGAAAACGAGATAAACGACGCGACTTTGTCTGGGGAACGGTCGTCTCCCTTTCTGCCTCTTCTCTCGCGGACTGTACGTTTTAACAACGTTAGCGGAGAGGCAGCAGAAGGGAGAGAGAGACGGTAATGGCTTCTCCCGCGCACAATGCCTTTTGCCTCGGAAAATTCGATTTTCCGCGCTGCTTTCGGTATTTCGCCAGCGATCCGTGCCCACCGCACTCTCTCTCTCTCTCTCTTCGTGGGGCGACCCCTTCTACGATAGGTCGCCACAAGCCAAAATTGGTATTGTCCACGTGCAAAAAAAAAAACGAGCCAGCGATATAATATGTACATTGTGTCATCATACGGGGAAGGAACATTGTTATGCCTCCAAAGATTATTTCTCTCAGTGGAAGGATCCAGTGTCGCTTCTTTAATACATTTTGTGTATACCGTACCCTACTTCACCCGTGGCTCTCGGAAGTACGGAGATCTGAGGAATTTATACGACGAGGAATTTCGTTAACTTGGTCGCAATCACTGGGAACCTTTTCGGACATTGATCAATTAATTTGAACGACACATCATCACCGTAGCAAACAATTTTTCTCAGCGTGCAATTAATATCAAATGCAATGAAAGGAAAAAACCAATCCAACCATATGTATGCTTGCTATACCGATTTTGGTATGAATTGTATGGAAAATGTGGTCCACCTTCCTCCAACTAAACCAGCAGCCTTTACAAACTGGCTGTTTCTCTAGAAGGCCAGAAAAAGTGTGAAGACTCACCTCATATTGTGATTCTCGCTGTTGTCAGGTGGCATGACGATGTTGGCAACAGTGGGATCCTGAGTAAGAGGTCCTTGGGTCACGTCGACACCCATGCTGCCTATGTCGAGGGAAGCGTAAGCTCTACGTCCCTGGACCCTCGTGCTCTCGTTGCCACCAACTCGGACGCCGACTCCCCTGCCGCCGTTGCCGACAACTAGTTCTTGATACAGCTCGTCGTAGATGGAACTGCCGTTCTCGTTGCTGTTGAGGGCATCGTCGAAACGCACCGAGTCAAGGTGATAGTTTGGATTCTCGAATGACAGCAGTCCGTTCTCTGCAAACATAAAACATGGCTCCGTCAGTTGGATCGTTAGCGCTTCTCTTTTTTGACTACCTGATGAGAGCTATTGTACTAGATGAATTACTGCATGAATGGTATCTTGTCGTCGTATTTTATTTCAAAAAGAAAAGAATCGCACGTAGACGATAAGTTGGAGGAATGAAAAAAGTATAGAAAGCATAAGAGGTAAGGATGAAGGATGAAGGATTGGTAAAAAAGGAAGACAATAAGAAATAAGCCAACGAAAATTGTCTCTACTGAACAGTGGTGTGGCGAGTGAATAAAAACATTTCAATGAAAAGACACAAATCTAATGGCATTGAAACATCCTACTACGGTATGTAAGGTAAAAAACCATAAGACCTCGGATTCATCGATTGATTCACCAAATTTATGCAAGAGTGATTTTTTTAGTTATTTATTTTCTCTTGATATACACAACACGTTTACATGTATATTCTCTGTTATTTTGTAAAGGAAGTAAGATTTACGTATCTATAAGCTGTTAGCTTACGAAGGAAATTAATATTGAAACAGCGTTTAGTGTACAAAACTATAACCGAACTCTTAAAATCAGCAAAGTTTCGACAGATGCAACAACACTAGTGCTAGTTGGAGATTAATCAAACAACTGTTAAATATTTTCAAAATAAAAAAAAAATAAAAAAAAAAAAACAACTTTCAGCCAGTATAATAGGTCGTAGTGGCGGTGCACAGTAGCACAAATCTGGCCTTGGGTCGCTGTTCTAGCTCGAGTAACAAAAGTCGATAACGACACGAGCGTTAGCTACTGAAATTGACACTTGGCAACAATAGTTGTCGCGTCGTCGCGAGCTGCAAATCTTGTTACCATCTCAAACTCCCCGAGACGCAAGGGGAAGTGTGAGGAAGGAAGAAAGCTTATTTATCCACTTGACACCTTACACCTCCTTTGCTTTAAGGAACTTTGCATTTTTCTACGCAAAAGTCTTGGCAATCTGCAAAAGTCCAAAATAAAACGAGCAAGCAGAGAAAAAAAATGAGAAAAAGAAGCCAGGTCGAGGATGAGGAAGAGCAGTAGGAGTATATAGTCAAGAAGAAAAGGAGTGGCATCGGGGGCTAGGCAAGGAGCTCCCGAGTCCTGGGGGAGAGTGGGAAAGAGTTTAAAAGTTTGGACACGCTTTTGGTGTTAGAACAAGTGCCAGAGTCCTCGAGAACGGGAACTGAAAGAAAAAGAAGAGGATCGGGGGGAGGAACGAGCTTGAAGGTATACGTACATAAATGTACGTTGGAAGAAATGCAATACCAAGTAATGGAGGGATAAAAAATGGCAGTAGAATTTCTATAAGCTTGTTTGTTCTGCGCACGGGGTGAGGGTGAATGATGGAGCTTTTCTTGGTGAAGCATTCAATTATTACACCTCTCGATGGATCTTAATTGTTTGGTACGCTGTGACTATTGCAAATACAACACTTTGGTGTTTACTTTCGAAACGAAGCATTGATTTTTTTTTCCAAATGCCTAACTCATTTCTTCTTAAAAATTCTTACGGGAAACCAACTTGTTACGGCAATAGGTACATAAAAATTTAACACGTAGCTGAGAAACTAGAAAAAACAGGGCTATCCATAAAAGCTCGATAGCCTGATGAACAAAACTGCTTACAGGAGTTCTTAGAGTACCAACGTGTGCTCGATCGATACGCTCTTTTACACAGTAATTTGTGATGTATGTCAATTTTCCTTGAGAAATAATACTGTTGTATAATAATTAGAATCAGTACTGCTTACAACTAGAACGTAATGGAAACGTGAGACAGCTACCTTACCCGGAAATCCGCACACTTCCCATTGTCTGTCCTCACGCACGCCTAGTGAGACCGCGTAAGCACACAGTGGTGTATATACTTACGATAAAGGTACAGACTCACGCGCTCGCTTACAGTATACAAAAGCTGCGAGTAGGCGTAGAGCGTGTACACACGAAAGAGGGGGTGGAAGAAAAATATGTACCCTGTCACTGCCCTCGATGAGTCACCCTCGGCATCGAGCTTTGTACGTGTGTATCGATCCCTCCCCTCCTCGCCCTCCGTCGCGAAGCTCCACGGCCCGATGTCAGGGAAAACTTTCCGCTGCCTGTGCACGCGAATGCAGAGCTTACACGTCTACCAGCTCGTGTCGCTTGGCTATACCTGCCTGAATGTGAAATATAATTTGTGTTTTACATGGAATATGAAATTTTTAAATTTACAATGCACAAGTGTCGCTAAGTCTAGATGATGGATGTACTTACAAATTTTATCTGAGTTTTCATACGTATCGGTATACTTTGGGGGTCACACAAGTGATAAAAGCGAGATAACAACTTTGGTCATCAACCAAACAAAATGACTTTCGGGGGTGGTTTTACGTAAAGTTGGAGAGCATTAGTTTCCAACGCCTCCGTTTGAATTGATACTCATTTGGAAAGCACTTCATTACCAATGCAGCAATATTTCGAGCCCTATTTGGCTGGAAGCTTGCAATTATCATACAACGACCAGATTCGAGCGGCCGTCCGAACTCTATTCCATTAAAATCTTAGTGCTTTCATTTAAATTTTGATGTAAATGCAGGCTCGCTGTTCATCTGATTTTACAAAAGTCGCAAAGTTTAGTGAATGCTTTGGAAACTGTTGTCACAATAAACTAATTCGAATAAGAACATATATAAAGAATCACAACGCTCCTCGAAACGAACAATAGCTGTCCAATAAACGGATGCCCTAAAGTATCAATGTCGTGAATTGCCTCCGGAATATCGGCCCTGCATCAACTTTCCCTGTCAACCATAGCAGAAATCGAACAAACGAAGGTCTCTTTTGCTCCGCTTCCAGCACCATTTCCTGCCCATTCCTCAGCAGCCCGCGAGCCAGCAATAACCGTTTCTTCAAATACGTTGGTTTCCCCCCTTGGAATATTTATACGCACGGCAATAACCATTTCGGAATCCCATGGAGGTATACAAAGGGAGGAGGATGTCGAGAGGTACGGAGAATCGATTCCAAGCTCATTAATCGGGGGCTTTATATTCCGAGAGACGATGAACCCGCTGCTGTACGGATGCATGCCCGTGAGAGCGGAGGTGGAGGGTGGGGCTCAGACGTCGAGGCGCCGGCTATGCGGCGCCGCACGCGAGCTAACGGCCGCTACAACTACTCCCGCGTTTACGGTACATGCATGTTCCGCGAGATCGGGGCTACTGTGTGCCTTTATTCGTGCTTTGCTTCTGCTTCTATCATTTTCATTTTTTTCTTTCCATTTTTGTTCAGGGAGTTTTTGCTCTGTAATAACGGGGGGTAGGTCGATAGGCTGTAATTGTACATTGTTTCTGGAACAAATCTTTTTTCTTGCGTTTTGATGGATGTGAGATTTTTTTCAAAAGTTGAATTCCATGCCAAAGTTCCCGGGACGAGTCATATGAATGCTAGTGACAGTCACGCGAAGGCTGTCTTGCTATTTCAAAAAACAACGAAATAAAGAATCCTAGAACAGCTGAGATGAATTCAATAGGTTAACATGTAAAAGTATGAGCAGTAGAAAAGAGAATTAAAAAAAATACACAAGATGATAAAAAAAAAAATATATTTTATTCAATGCGACTTTCTCCTCAAAGATTGGTATACCGCAAGTAGCTTCAATACGCCCCAACGATGTGCTAGCCACAACCGAGGATCTATAAGGACCTTTTTGGCCCGTGACCAAGAGTGGTATGCAACGGAAAGTAGAAGACACACCGTAAAAAGCAAAGTTAGCCATCGTCTTTAGCTTACCAGCCTTTCACACCCCTGGCAGCAAACTTCTTTCACCGCACCTAGTAAAACTTGGGCATCCGCAGGTATCAAAGTCTCTGCTGCTCGTTGTCTCTCAAGTCCTATTCCAAGAGCAGGGCGCGTTGGCAAAAAATCTCCACTCCTCCATCGAGCTATGTCCTTTTTTTCTCTTGAACTCTAGATACGTGTGTTCACGAACAGCCTTCGCTCAGTACGTACACACAAGCACAGACCGCGCGACATTAACTCCACGCGAATCGATAGTTCAAGGATATGGAGTGGGCCTTTTCGAGTGCAACATTGAGACACAAACTTACCCACACGCCCGACCACCTGTACGTCTCACTGGCGTGGAGTTACTGTGTTTAGCCTGTACATACACACGTGGTGTGTGCCGCAATCGATCGTAAATGTTCATCCATGTACAAACCAGACCATTGAGTTTGAACGAACGTGACTTCTTGAGGGGGTGGGGGTGCTATTGCTCACTAAAATCTTGGTGACGTCCGTTCTTTTGCTATCGCTAGCATTCCTCTACTCTAATTTTTCAGGAATACCTACTCTGATCTACTGTATCGAAATAGCGAACAGCCAGGGAACTTCGAAGCAACTAGAAAGAACTGAAAGTGAGCTTCGTAGACATCACAAGATTGTCTCGGTTTCAAGTCTAGCACATCTAAAGAAACTCATTGTAGTGATTGGGGCTCTTTAAAGTGGCCCTTTCAGAAGTTTTTTTGCAATGCTTGGGGGTTGTTACATCTGGCTCTTTTGGTTATCATTGGAGTTTTTTTCTCAAGGGAATAGTAAAGTTTGTTACTGGGAACCCAGAACCTGGAAGCCTCTAATCAGTTTTCGATAACTCATCGTTGTCGTCGACGTCGTCGATGGAAACCGGAGCATTGGAAACCAAAGCGCGCATACGCAGATGGAACGGAAACTGTCGATGCCCAATGGCCCCTAACTTCGTTACGCAGGCGCGGCGTTAATCAGTTTCCCGATAACCCGAAATAAATTTGAGCGAACGGACGAGGTTTCACGCGTGCGACTGGAGGGGCGGGGGGTACTTGCGCCTAATTACGGGCATAAATTTGGAGGCGGGGGGAGGAGAAGCGGAGCCGTTGGTAAAGTTTCGTCGGAAGCTCCATCGGAAACGCTGAATCGCAGCAATTTGCCGGTCGCGTGCAGGACTCCTCCGTTTGCTACTA